CGTGTTTATATTGTTTGTCGTGTGTGCGTACTGGATAATATCGAAAATATTCATCTTTCTTTACTTTACCCCCAACTCGAATAGAAACCTCGTACAATAGTAAATAAAGTAATGGAGAACCTTGGCGTATCGAGTCGCATATATGAATGTGCGATATATACATTTAACTATTCAGTGACTCGGCGAAGCATCGATTTTCATTCTATTCGTTCGAGCTTTTACGAAGAGACGCTATATATTATATCGGCTAGATCGAGTGAAGGAAAGAGATAAAGCGGTGTAAAAGAAAGACCGTGTGCACTCGAACACAAACGAGAAGGCAAGACAAGAGAGAGGGAGAGACGAAGGAGAAAGAGAGAGAGCAAGAGTAGAAAATAGAAAAGTAGGATGGACGACGAGAGAAAGCAGAGAGAAAATGCAGCCGTGCAGCTTAGAGGCAAAACCCAAGATAATCCTGCCCCACTTTTTTCTTCTTTGCTCCCTCTCGGCTGATGTACATATAGGTATAGAGATACCCTGTTCGCAGCAGCAGCTTGCTCAAAACGTTTAGTTTTGCTAGTTTTATTATTATATTTTTTTTCTTACTCTCTCTCTCTCTCTCTCTTATTTTTTTACTGCTATTCTCTAACTCTTTAGCTATTCCTTCATCGTGTATTCCAACTGTACCGGGGGCACTTTTTTTTTGCCGCTCGTAGCAGCAGCGCGCGTTTTACTTTCGCCGGACCATTTATTCTCTTTCTTTCTCCAGTCTTTTACTCTCTCTCTCTTACGAACAATGGCATTCGATTAGTGTTTGCCGAAGTAATTTACATGCTTACGTATTCGAGGTAGTAGCTTAGCCGCTAATGAAGATCCCGACTTTTTATTTTCTCCCCTTTTTTTCAAGTGCGCGATAATATATAAACATGTAACGTTGTATATATGCGTGTCGTCATCGTGTAAGGCACTTTTTACGCTCGAGCTTTTAAATTCAACCATGTGCATAGCATTCGGTTTCGTGCAGTTGAAAAATAATTTTTTTCTCGCCCGTCTTGTTTTATTTACATGTTTTTTTTTTTTTCATTTTTTTTCAACCTCGCGACGCTGTAAAGAGATTGAATTAAAAAAGTTGAACGACTCAATTGAACGTCACACACGCGTAACACACACTCGTGCAGTACGCGTACATACATAAAAACCAACTTCGCTGCGTTTTAGACACACGTTGGTGCGCGAGCTTCAAACTTTTCGGATTTTTCAAAAGTTGAAGAACATTTCATATTACCCGCGCGTAAGCATTGAAGCTCTGAATTCGCGGATATGTTGGAAAGGCACCATAGAATTTCGTACCAAATCAAACACTCGTGTCTTCTATTCTCATTTCAACGTAACAAAACCAGTCTCAACGAGAACAAAAAGCATAGAGAGAGAAACATACCGTAATGATAAATCTACTTTCTCGATGTTCGCGAGCTTTCGAGCTTTCGAGCTTTATACGTACACTCGATTTCTATTTTCAAGGCTTAATGAAATCAACTCTCGCTCTCGACTATATATTTCGTGCCTTTCTTCATATCGAATCAAACGAGATCCAACATAATGAAGAATAAAATTTCAGAAATTCAAAGTATAGCGCAACAAAAATAAAATCGCGTCTTGTCCATCGCCCGCGCGTACATAATAAGTAACGAGATGCGCTCTTGTTTTATATCATTAAACTTTCGTGCCTTAACAAGGAGGAAGGTTAGAAGCCTCTGACTTTTGCACGCGCGCGCCACGATAATGCACCAAAGACGACGACAGCAGCCCCCTGTGCATTATAGACAGGCGGCGGTGGTGGCGGCTATGACGACGACGCGACGACACAAAGAGACGCTGCAATTACGGTCGGCGGCGGCGGCGTCTCTTAAATATACTAGAGATATGAGTTATGCGCGCCGCGTCAAAAGAAGATCTAACGAACGCGACACATTATATTGTTCGTTCGAATGTATAATGCACGTCGAATCAAATGTTATTATTCTAAAAATATGTACAAAAGAGGACTCGCGTTTGCGGGACTAAATGATTGCAAGCTCGAGCTTGCAAAGTATTCTATCAAGTATGCACATATCCGCATTCGAGCTAAGAGGAGCTCTATATATCGTCAAAGATTTGAAAAGCGACTTCTTTTTAGCCTCGAGGACCGGGTTAAAAGCCGTCGTGAAAAAAAGAAGCTCGAGAGAGAGAACCGTTTGGCAAAACATTAATTATTACGTCTCCGTAAGAGGAGGAAATCTAGAATATTCTTATAACGTCGTATATGTATAATACGGGAGGAAGAAAGAGAACTGCGGCTAAAGTATGTAATACGAGAAAGGAGGGAAAAATTTTTTTTCAAGAAATGACAATAAGTGTACCACCAGGTAGTAGTCGGCATTTTAGAATTATTTGAGAAGCGTACGCGAGCTCTTGCGACCACGACACAAGCGACGGCAGCAGCAGCACTGTGTAGACATTCTTTTGAATAGTGAAATCATTGTACGTCGTTTTTACAATGGTTACCCTCTCTATATGCCTTCCTGCACCTAAGTACATAGATATATATAAGAGAGAGAGAGAGGAGTACGAGCCCAGAGCTTTTCTTTTCATGCATATAGTCTCTCTCTCTCTCAGTTAGAGAGAGAACCAAGTAAAAACGAGAGACGACTTCTTGCAATATTTATACGCTCCAACTTTTCCTCTCTCTCTCTCCTCCAAGATAATTTCGCCAGGGCCAAACAAGCAAAACGTTATTTCGCGTAATATTCGAGAGAGCCTTGTACTGCTTATTACTCGTAAACACGATGCTCTACCTACGTATACCCCACTGAATCACAATTATCACTACAGCTGCTGCTGCGGCTATGCTGGGAATTAGGTCGTATCATCTCAAGTGCGAAATGCCACTCGGATAGCTCATCGACAATTACGATTCGAGCGTAGATCTCTCCCTCTGTGATAGTTTGAGCAATCCCTGCTGTTCTGAACGACGAAATAGTACAGTAGTAACTCATCCGAATTGCGATGCTAATCGCGAAGGATCGCGAGCCATTTTTTTTTCTTTCTGTAAACTGAATTGAAACTGTTGGATGGAAACTTGAATGGATCCAATTTTTGAATTATTCAGGAGAATACGTTCCGTTTTTTTGTAATTTTTGAAACGAACGTCTATCGGATCATGCACACGTGTGCAACAGTTTCAAATAATAGATGAGAGAAGAGTTCGCGCGCACACGATTGTCTCGCTCGTACAAGTATCCCGTGGGATTCTGTGTGCGGGGTTTAAAAAAAAAAAAATAAATCACCCGTACGAGAATAATATTCCCCACAGAGAATTGGCTAGAGCTGGCCAGGCACACATACACGCACAGTCAATTTGTATTTTTTCAAACTTTCGAGAAAATCCGATTCCGTGTTTACAAGTGAATTCATAAATTTTCTAGTCAATCGCGAGGAGCGGGAGTAGCGTTGCGTGACCGCAGTGGAGGTACACACAGCAGCATCGACACTGCAACTACGGCGGTTTTTTCGAAGCGCCACAATTATTATTTTTTTTTTTTTTTGTACTCGAATCCTTACACTGCGGCAATTTTCACCGGGTATACTATAATACGCAAGAGCTTGGTTTAAAGTAAATACTTCCTTTCTTTCTTGCCACTCGCCTCTCGGCTCACTTTTGCTTTTATTTTCGCAGTATACAAAAGCATGGGGGTGCGGGAGGAACATTTTCTTAACTTTAAATACGTTGAATGAAGTGAAATCCATTCGTTTTAATTACGGAACATTAGTTCTGTTTCGTCGTCGTCCCCTTCGTTTGGGCACGCTCGCGCGCGTGCCACGTCCAACGGCGCTATATTCTACCCTCGTTTATTTACATTTTCTGTTCTTTTCTTTTCTTTTCCGTGTTTTTATTTTCAATCCACCTCCCAACTCCGCTATTTACACCATTTCTCCGGGAGTAAATTCCATGTACACATAGACAAACGCGAAAGGAGAAGACCAGCGCGCGCGCGAATCATCAAGCTGCTGGGAGAGGAAGACTGTCTCTCTTTCTCCTTCTACTTTATGCCCGGGTGTTTCGGAAATGAAGGAGCGACAGAAGAGCATTACAGTTTCGCGTGTTGAGTGAGAAGAGTTGCCGTCGCGAAATGTAAGCGTGAATGTGTATACGAAAGAGTTTCACTACTGAAACACACACACACACACATACACACAGGCACACACAGAGAAGATACCGCTCCTCGCTTTGTCTCACGCGCGCACATTTCTGCCATTCGTGGGGCAATTTTAATTTATGTTGTTCTTCGCAGTTTGCTGCTGCAGCGACCGTTTCATTTTATTCGGCTCTCTCGCTCGACGCGCGGCTCTTCGCTGTCCTTCATTCTCATTCAGCGTACCTATTTACGAAAAATATGCCGCGTATAATTTTAATACCGACGGCAGCGCAGTGTACGCGCGCGAGCTAGCTCCGACTGCTCTTGACTGGCTTCGCATAGCTCAGCGCGACTGTTGTACACCTTTGCGTCCGTTGAACGCGTGCACTAGAGCCCTTTAGTTAATTAATTTAATTAATTTCTTCCGAATTATATTGTACAAATTAAATATTTTATTTTAATAAAGATTCATATCGAGCTAACGCGCGCAATTGAGAAACATTATCTCGTCCTCGTGCGGACGAGTTTAAATCCTAAATTTACTCGTATATATAATTGTGATTATCTACTTGAATTTATAATATTCAACAAAGATTAATTTCAAAAAAACTTGTCAAGGACCAGATCGGGCAAGTTTTCGTAATTTTTTTTTTCATTTCTCTCGGTTCTCGATGCGTGCGTGGGGATTCCTTTGATTTCTCTCTCCGCGCGCAGTTCCATTCAGTTATTACCACAAAGTTCATGCGGAGAATCCGCACAAGTGTTTGCTGCAGCCTCGCCTTCTCTTAAAATTGAGATATAAAAGCACACACACAGACACACATACGATAGTAGTAGTATAAGGAGAAATCTCAATCAAAGTGACCCAAAGCTCGGCGCGCGTTCATTTATGTCTATAGTACAGTAGGATATATACGCGCAAGTTCTATACGTTTCATCGATTGACTCGAGTTAACGAGACGAGAATGATTCTCGGAGAGCATCGCATTGCGTTGCAGTCTTTGACGCGTGTCCTTTGCTGCTAGAGTCGTCGTCGTCATCGTCGCGTCGAGCAGTAGCTCTGATCTTCCTGAAGTGTATAATACGCGTACGTACAGGAGAACTAGCTATAGCTAGCATTTGTACAAGCTCAGACCAGTGGTATGTAGGGCATCTCTCACACTCTCTTCTGTAACTTCGATGTATATATATTTTGTACAGCCCTTTAAATCTGATTGGTTGGCTGCCACGAGCTGTGCAGTGTGTGTGTGTGGGTGTCTTGTAGACAGAGCGCGCGATGCGATCATGCGTACGCCGGTCGATCGTGGAGCTTCGACGTTGTGCTGCTATCCCTGCTGCTCTCGAGTTACGCTTTAATATGCGCCACAACATCGAGCGAACTTGGCCGTTCTGTTTTAGTTGTTAAGGGCTTAGTGCACTCGCTGCTCTGCGGCAAGCATTCGATATCGACACTACTAGCTCGAGTCGTCGTCGTCGTGCCTCTTCCGATTCCTGAATACTGTCGAGTTCTCGAGGGCATTACGCTTTTGCAAGCTCTACCCCTCGATCTGTGTGTATTGTGTTCAAGATTGAAAAATATACATAGGCGATTTGCTCGTTGAATGAAGTCGGTGAAAGTGTGTGTGATATTCTTCACCGAAAGCATAATGATTCGAGCGCGAGTAATGCATGGGACCCGTGTTCAAGGAGTAAACTCGAAAGAATCATTCGAAATTTTCAATTGTTCGAGCTCTGCTACTTCGTTGTGAAATCTTAATTGTACTGAATTACAGTATATGCTTATTAGATATTGTTTCTATTCTTCTCTGAGACGTTGGTTAACAACGTCCTCATCAAAAACATTGTATAGTACCCAAGTTACCGCTAGATGTCGCGGGTCCGGATTTTCGGAAATCGCAAGAGAAAAAGCACAGTTCTTCTCATAACCGTTAAAACGTTGTAAAGAAATGTATAATGGGCTACAATCCCTTCATAGTGTTGATTCTTTGCAAAGTATCGATTTTACATTGTTACGCGCAGACGGGACATAAAGAGCAGTCGCGTTCTTAGCGTTCTCGTACATTTACGAACAATTAATTTTTGCGCGCACGATGCTTCGAGACTCGAGCGAATCATACGTAGAGTACATTCGCGTAAACGACTCGTTTTACAGCTCCCTAATTCTTTATATTTTTTCCATGTCCTCTCTCGTACGTCCACGCGCTCGCTCACTTTCAATTCACCGAGCGACAACAAGAATCAAAAAAAAAATTCCGGCTGAAAATGAAAATGATCCAGCTTAATTTCAACATCGACGTCAACGCAGAGAGTAGAAAAAAACTCTCGCGGCGTTGTTCATTACGGCCGTGAGCAACAAATCACTTTATTAAAATTTAATTAAATCTGGGGGAGCCGTTTAATGCGAAAAAAATTAGCTATAGGCCGTTCACGTTCACGTTCGCTCGAACGCGCTACTGCTGCTGCTGCGCGGCGTGGGCGAGCTTAATTCGCAGCTTTACGATAACGAGCACGAAATAAAAAGAAATTGAATATTACTTAAGCTCGTAGAGAGAGAGAGGTACGCGGCCTAATGATCATGGTTATTACGTAGGTACAAAAAAAATTATCGATATATTGTGTATCGGCGCGAGCGATCGAATTGCGCCGTAGCAGCAGCGGGTCCTCGATTAGATTTTGACGCGCGCGCGCAAAACTGGCTCACGTCGACGTCGGTATTCAAGCTAAATAATACGCATACATACACGCACGTACGAGAACATCCGCACACACTTACGCGCAGATATATCGTATGTGTGTGCACATAATGCAGAGACCGGCTCATCTTGCCCCCGTCATGAAAGCTCGTATAATTACTCGAAGCAAAGCATAATAGTTCGCTATGTATGCGCGTATTACACACACACAGGGCGGATGTGTGTACTACGGTAGTATGTACACGTTATGCTCGGGACTTGCTGTGTGCGTGTACAGTGTACGAACGATACCGATCGATGGCATATCAATTAACAGTCAAAATAATCGAGCTATTCGGACTGCGTCATAATAATTAGATATACGGATGTACAACGTGTGTGTTTGCGCACAGAAACACACAAACACACGAGCGAGCGAGTCAATTTTAATTTTCTATGTACAGGGGACTAGTGCGTGCGGGTGGTGCGTTGTAGTAAACTCGCGGCTGCAAAATTAATGCTATTCGTAACAATAGAGCTCGCGTATAGGATAAAATTAGGCAGATTTTCATCTGTTTTTGTTTTTTTGATTACTAGTAAACTTTAGACGTGCTTTATACACAAGTCAATTTTTCAATCGTGGTTTGAAAATGTTACCATTTTTTCTATTATTCGAAACAATGAAAAAATAAAAAAAAAATGTTGATTCAGTACTAAAGTTGAAAAGTTTTGATTGAAAATGATACATTCATACGTAGATTTACTCGTTGCGATAATTCATCAAAAAATAATTGAAAGTTCAATCATAATTAAAGCCAGCCTGTACCGCTAGATGGCGAGTGGCCTTTATCTGTAAATCTGCAAGTGACAAAGTCAAAATAATTACTTAAGTAAAGCACAGCTCGAACACTAGTTCATGTACGATTAGGATTGTATTTAAATCTAAGCTTTTCTATACGAAGAAGAAAAAAACTCCCTTCACTTTACATCAATTTTAATGTACATTATTTTCAACCGTGTATTTATATTGATCATATGATGGATATCGATAATACACACGCGTACCAAGTAACTACGCAAATTATTGTTTTTCATATACAAGCAAAATCGACTAGCGTACTATTTTATGACATTCATTTACATTATATCAAACGCAGCTCTCCTGCTGTCCTTTCGTAACGAAAATTGTATAATTTGCATGAAGCAGTAGCAGTTTAACCTTTCCCCCTATTTTCTCTCTCTCTCGTTCGTGCGGAATCTTTGCGAAGGCCGTATAAAACAAAAGAGCTTTAATCCACGTGTTATACGCATGCCATGGTATATAAGTAAGTCACGGTGCGGTTTAGCTTTTCGCAATTATACGTTAATGCCAACAGCAGCAGCAGCAGCACCGGCAGTAGCGGGCGAGGCAAGATTATCATCGCAAATTCAAGCTTAAAAGCGGAAAGAAAAACACGGGTGTGCACGCAACGATGATTCCGTGCGCCGCCGCCGCACACGTGCATATGGAAAATTCCCAAAAGAACGTACGGACGAGAGCGCGGAATAATCTCACAATGTTTTCAACGTTTCGTACGAGATCTTTTCTTCTCTCGGAAAGGAGAGGAAGTATTTTTCGAGCGAGGCTAATTACCGCAGCGGTACAGGCCGCGCACGTCTCGGCGTCGCACGTTCGCGCACGCGTGCGCACGTTTATAAATATATAAAACCGGTTGAAGGATCGATCGTCGTGCAGGATCAAAGAACAAACGCGAAAGAGCGAACTTCCGCTAATTCAACTAGGTGGATGATCCTCGGCTCTCTTCGACTATTTGCACTGCGCGCGCGCGCGCGCAACTAGATAGGAAAGAACAAACGAAGTTGAGCGAGGGCGAGTTTCAAGTATCGCGTATATTTTCTCGAAGATTGAGAGACAATGTGTCAGTAGTATGTGTATGTACGTCGTTTACCAACAACTCCCGACGTGAAAATGATATTTTAGCCCAAAAAGAAAAACGTCGTGAAATTTCGCGAGTAAACAACTGCCCCCGTTATTGACATATTCCCTCTTCTCCGCTCGGCGTGTGCATCGAGAAAGAAAAATTGACTGCCGCGCATTATTGACTCAACGATTAAGTTCTCAAGAGAGAAAACGAACGCGGAGGGCACAGAGCAGCAGGCTTATAGAACGAAGCTTTGTTATGCTCGCGCGACCACTTCGCTACATATGTGCGCCATATATAATATATCTCGCATTCGCGTGCGCTCGTCTCGCCCCTTTTTGTTCTCGACGTAGGTATAAAGGTACTTACGTTTTTACACGGTTAACGTTTATCCATGATACTTTTTTTTGTCTTTATCTCTCTTCGTATTTCTCTAAGCAAACGTCGAATCGGCAGGGATTTTTGGTCGGACGGGATTATCGCGTGGATTGTTTCCCAAGGCTCTCCCGCGCCGATCGTATCCCAATCGTGCTTTATGTATGAAAAGCTTCTCTCTTTTTTCCTCCACCTCCGCCCCCTGCGTTAACTCCAGAGCGATTTAATGTATTCGAATTGAAGAGAAAACTCGCAAAAAATTCCTTACTATCTGGATGGAGGGCATATAGTTATATACACATACCTACGCGTAGGCTCTCGTAAAATCACTGACACGAATCCACAATTCGCGCGCGAACTTTGATGCTGCCGTACTACGGTACGTACGCTTGGCAGAGCTAACGATCTCCATTCGAGCGATGCATGCATAACATATATTCGTGCGCTATATAGATGAAAAATATAAACTTTTTTTCCTCTCTTACCCATTTTTTTTTCGCATCTATTAGTCTCTCTCTCTCTCTCTCTCTCTCTCTCTCTCTACCCCGAGTCGCGCGTGTACTTACTTTAATTAACACAGCTTAAAATCGAGCAAAGTTAGCTGATGCGTGTATCATAATTCATATTCACGTTGTCACTTCGGTAACGTTAATAAATTCGTTTCAAATACTTGTATACTTTTTTTCTGTATCACATCGTGCCTTCGATAACTCGACTCTGCGATCCTTGAGCCTGTATAATATATCATACAGTAGGCTACGCAGCCGAGCGAGTTTTTTAATCGTATACGACTAATAAATTTCATTCGAGTGTTGCTCTTCGTCTTTTTTTTTGCAGTTACGCGCGCATCTGTGCGAGAAGCAAAGAGCAAGCGGAGAGCTGCGCCCATAG